ATGTTGCACCTAATCTTTTTGCTTACGTAGGGAGTGATTATTTTATGCAGATTTGGGACTAGTTGCTATATAATAAAAATGAAGCACTTAACCTACAAGGATTATACAGCACAGCCTAGTTCCTATAGGACTTCCCAAGTGTATATTATGATGTATCGTTTTCGCCTGCGTGCTCCATGGCCTGGTGGCTAAAGCTCTCGCTTCACACGATGAGGGTCTGGGTTCAGTTCCCAGCGAGGGTAGAAACATTGGGTGTGTTTCTTTACACTGGTTGGCTGTTCCCCATCGGTAAAATGGGTACCTGGACGTTAGTAGACAGGTGTTGGTCACATCCTGGGACAAAACTGACCTAATTTACCCGAAATGCTCTGCATAAGTAGCTTTCTATGTAGTAGTATGTCATTGATGTTAGCTAGGACTGTATACCCTGTACATGTACTTGTGGAAATAAAGATATGTATTATTATATTAAGAGTACAGATCAAGGGACTTCAACCTTTCAAAGCAATTGAAGTGCTTTATTGTACTTGTTCAAACGTTTAAGTCAGTTTTCAGGCTTTATCGTTCGTGTTCAGTACCAGTCCCTTAAGTCTCCAGTAGTCTACCACCAAACTAATCAAGTTTCTACGATATATCTTCTCCACGCAGGCTCTGTGAATTTGAATCTGAAGCAAAGTTCAGATTTTGCCTACATCCCAGAAGCCATTATTATTCTTAGGTTTGGAGAACTTTTTTCTTCTAATACATAGTGAGAGTCAAAGAATCTTTAGAATTTGCTATTTTTATTGGTCTAATATTCAAAAAGACAGTGTGCTTGCTTTGCAGTCTTCTAGCACCACCTACACTACCAGATAGTCACCCCTAATTCCTGCCTCCAGAATATAAATTCTGACATTTTACACCAGGGACACCAAAGTTGAAAAGTGAGGTGGGAAAAGTACGTTATTTATTTGCGAGGTGCTCAGTACTGCTAGATAGCATCAGTCTTCGTACCTCTTCACTTATCACTCATTGTGTTCATGTCCCTCAAGGGAGATTCCTCAATGCCAGCAAGTTGTCTTAATCCAAGAAATTTTACTTGTGTTCCCCTTCCCTAGATCGAAGCCTAATGCCTCCCCTTCCCCCCCCCATGCTGAATGACTCCCATGAATGCAATACCACTAAAAAATATAAACAAACATTTACCCATATCCAGTCTGATGGTTGTTCTTGCGTAAGTGCTGTCCAGCTAGGATATGGTGAAAAATTGCCTATACAATTGCAAAATCCTGGTCGTTACAGTCTGTATACGTAGTTTTAACCATATCATATGTTAACAGCTATCCTCCCTCAAGTCACCATCCTGTAGCTAGTAGTCCAGTCCACCTTTATCTGGATCATTCCTGCTATGCTCACTGCAACAATGTTGCAAGTAAATTGATGTATAGTACCGGATAGCGTCGCCTGCCTCGTCTAGCGATTCCAGGTTCGTTAACCATCCAGCATTCCTGGATGCTCTTTCCGCGGGACGCCTTTATGATTACACCCTATCACCATTATGCAGCATTGCTACTGCATTTTGTGGACAACAGCAAGAAACCATGAGAATTTCCCCTAATGGGAGGTGCCTTGATGCAGTTATGGGGCTGATACAAAAAACTGGGCATGTCCTTCCCTTTCTTGGATCAAACCTTAATGTCTTATGCCCTGGATGCTGACCCCCAAGGGTTTATGCTTTCCCATTTTTTTTCCTACAATACAGCTCCTTGAACACTGTTGTGGTCCAGTCTATAAAATACATTACAATAAAAATTAAGTGCTAAACCCAAGTCATAATACAAAGCTCAGTTTAGGCAGATATTGGAGAGGCAGTAAATCAGTATGGGTTACACTTTACAAGTACAAAGCAGTAAAAATTCTGGGTAGAAAAAAATGAGACTTATTGGCAGACAGGAGACACTGCTACCTTGAATGGAAAGCCAAGTTGTCATGCTAATGGTTACTGTTCAGCAGCAACAACAATGGTGCCTGCAATACCTCCGAATAGCACAGGCCAAACTGCCATACTGCAAAAGTTTGTGCGCAAATTCATTCCATGGTTATAGGTTAAGTACTGAACCCTGAGAGTTGTAGTGCTGCAGAAAGATGTTGAAAGTAGAAATGGGGCAGGGGGTGTGCATGTTCCCAATCAAGTAAGGTAGACCCCAATTGTCTAGTAATAAGGCAAGTGTTAAACCTGAAAAGGTTATATAACAGTTCAAGGAGGAATGTGTGAAGGCTAGGAGAGGGGCTGGGGGTACAAAGGTAGGGTAGAGTGCAAGAATTAACTTTTAAATCAAAGGCGGTGCAAAAAAGTTTGTTTCCGTTAAAATAATCAGGCTATATCCACGGTGGACCTTCAGCGAGAGAATCAGTGTTGGGGGCATTGCAGAAATCTGAAATTAATCCTGCCGACACTCACGACAATGTTAAGGTACGAGAGACCCAATCAACACGGAAGTGCTAGGCATTTCTCCATATGGCACCAGAGAAAGATGAGCACATCCAATATGCAAGTGGGAGTGTGTAAGCTCGAATCAACAGCAGTGGGAAGACAGCCCAAAAGCTAAATGTGATTCGATAGAAAATTTGCAGTCCAACTCTGGATAATATTGCTAATAGTTATATTGCTTGGAGATAACTAAAAAAACGTGTTAAAGGAACACCCACAGGAAACTGAAGCAAGAATAGATGCCCGAGCAGCATTCTGCTGGTTTGTCGCCTTTAACCCCATAAACGTATATCTACGTCCAATTTTACAAGCTTTGAAATGGAGAAAATCAATGTTGGAGCGCTACGCACGTCAACGTAGATCTACGTTTCAACAATTTAAGGGTTAACATACAAGAGTCCAGTACCCTGCAAAATTAGTTTATTTAAAAGTGACCAGTTATACAAGAGGGACAATGGGACACGTAATATCTGGATAACCTATAATGCTCCCTGGGAGTGAAAGCAATTGTGAATATAGTGAAAATCTAGAAAGTGTGCAGATAAAAAAAATTGTTTTATACCTATCACCTTAAAAGGTATTTACAACCATTAGTGTACACAGTAACAGCAACTTAAGAATGGAAATGGTCGGTAAAGAGTTAACACGAAGTTTTAAGTGGCAAGTGAGCCTTAGGGTCAATGGCTATGTAGTAAGAGCAATTCAAAATACAACCCAATCATTTCAAAGGCTAAAAAATCTCCATTATTAAGGCTGAAAAATAAAATTGCCATTCCTAGCCAGTATTCGCGTTAATATAATTGAAGCGCTAAACATAAGTCTAGGTATATCATGAAGATAATAAAAAGGCACTAAACCTACAAGGGTCATATACATTATGAAGAGAAAATTCAGGACAGGACTCAGAGCCACAAAATTAGACTGGGGGACTGAAGATAAAAAATAAATATATCCAACCTCAAGCTGGTACTTCCCCTACAGTAGCACTGCTTTCCTACATGAAAACTATCAGTCAAATAAAGCACTAAACCAATGAGGGTCATGCAGGAAAACTATGAACGAGCTTGATAACGATGAAAATTGGAGGGGAGGGGGGGGGGGATGCATGGTCGTTGGAATTTTTCAGAGGCACTCAACAAGTTAGGAGATAGTTTGTGACCAAAGCTAATGTGAAAGTTCCCCTAAATGCAACAGGTGTTAAGTCTACCAAGAGACTGGTTTCATCAATAACAGCTTAACAGAGATAACACCACTGCTAGATCCTAAATGGCCAAACTAATCTAGGTAACTAGAGAAGGGGCAGATCTTAGCAACAGAGGCCCTGAAAATTTCACGATGTAAATAGTCTAAACTGAAAGTTAATTACCTTGCACACCAAAATGACCACTATGCATCCACCTGAAGAGGCAACACTGAAGATGACAACAGGATCTAGAGTATAAAGCACATTGAGGGAAGAAAGGGGAAGTGGGAAGAGAAGCAATGTAGATGATAGTGCACAAAAGTATATGCACAAATAAGCTTCCCCTGTATTCTACAGCTCCAGCTTAATCAGGAAGAAACAAAGTACAGTGGACCCCCGCATAACGATCACTCCGATGCGACCCATCTAGTAATTATTCATGTAAGCTGTTGTACGTGAATGTTTGGGTCTGAAATGACTTAATTACTTCCACATATTACTTATGCAACAATTCGTCATAACTGCACCTGAACAATTACTTCTGGATGAAAATATCGTTAACGGGTCACGTACAGAAATTATGTAAGTCACATCATACAGTAATCATTCAGAAGACTACATGAACTAGTTTCTACTGAAACTTAATTGTTCACAGCATATTAATTAGCGCAATAACAGAAATCCCAAACAATTTCTGCATTATTGGTCTACAAAATTTAAGATAAGCACAATTCAATACACCTAGCAAACAAAATTATCATGAAAACATTACACTTTAATGTGAACAAGGAAATAAAACTAAATATTGGACTACCATATTAAGCACTATGTGAATGTACTGCAAGCCAACACAGATCAAACATGGCAAATTAATTCAAAAAGTAAGCAAATGTCAAAATGGACAAAAAATAGGCAATTCAAATCAATATTAGCTTTTCCACATTCACAAGTGCCTTTTATATGCTTTGCTACAAGATCCTTATGTAAATTATCCCTAAGCTAAAACAAACACCAAAACAAAATCAAATTTAATATGTGCAGGGAGCAATATCTGCACACAAGTGATATTATAGTTCAAACTTCAATCTCTTCAGCAGTCCCTTAAGGATATCTAAACAGATGCCTCCAATTTCAGGACAAGATTGCCTGTAATCCTTTAGCTGAAGAATCGAGCACAACTTTTCACAAAATGTTATCCATTTGCAAAAATCATAGGAAAACTGGAAAAACTCAAATCAAAATATTAAGCAAATGCAGTGGAGAACTTTGAAATTTCTTGACATTAATTGTTTAAGAGTACTATGATCATGGTATTTTCCTGGGTTATGGGATTAAAAAAAAACTTGGGCACAGAAATCTTCTGTACAAAGAACCTAGAAGCTCAAAGGGCTCCCAGTCTGACTTTTCAAAAAATTATTTATGGTACTTACTGTGTGGCAATGAATATGAAAATTCCATAAAATACCTAGCATTACTCTGTAGATGCTTAGCCATTAATAGAAGTTCATACTGACCAAGTCAAAACTTATTTCTTGAACCTAAAGTAACTGAATAAAAAAAATAGTTATAATTTCTGTATAATTTATTTTGGCAAGTAACAAAGGATTTCTTTTTAGAACACTAGTACTCAAATAAGTATACATAAGTGGTGCTGTAACTAATTAAACTTTTGCTACATACATTCCGTATAGAAAAAATTCAAAGTAAAGGGTTGCTAAAGCATTCAAATTTGATTCATTTGAACTAATTAAAAAAATCTCTTTACATAATGTACAAAGATGAAAACCAAAATCTGTATTCCTAATGATACAAGGCAGTCTGAGAATACAGATTTCAATTTCAATCTAGGCTAGAAAAATCCTTAAACTAAAGACAGATCACAAGACTTATATTAAATGTTTAATTGAGAATATCACTGGATATTAGAAACAGTTGGAAAGTCAAGGACACTGATGTACAGTAATTTGACTATTGCAAGAGGCGCTAAGAATGTGATTGCCGCAAAACACGAGACAGCAGAAGGCAGTGTGGACAGGGTTTGGGAAGAAGTATATTGGGGGGTAAGGGTTGGGGGAGGGAGTATCTCTTATCCTGGGGCAACTACTTCAATTGTTATGGGGCTTAATTAACAGAACACCTCCATTCACCATATTCACCCACTCATCCAGCACCCTAAACACATTATGAATCATGAATTATATTTTCTACATTAATGCCTACTTCTGTTTGTCAGTGCACTGTCAAAATTATCAAACCTGTGACAGACACTTCCAAAATTATAAAATTGGCAGTAAGAGGCATTATCTAAATATTCATTAACCTTAACATTACCTATCACGCTTGACCCTGCAGTAGATATCAAGACATGTTCAAGCTGAGCACAGGCATCATGTACAAGCTAACATCACTGCATGTGGCATAGCAGATTCATTAGGAATCTACTTTAGAAGGCAAATTAGATATGGGACGATTAGCTTCAAGGTGAACATCAAATCTGCGAGAAATCTGAAGACAACACTAACCACCATTCTCCCAGAGGGCGAGACTTGAGGTTTAAAATTGCTACACTTCAGAGCAATGGACGAGAGGGCAGGAGGGGTGGGGGTGGGGGATTTCCCAGTATCTACACAAAATAGGCAACACTAGGATTGTGAATGGATGGGCAGGGACAATAATGGTATAATCGGCCAAAGCTCAACTTTCTCAAGGCAAAATGCCTTCAGCCTGAAAATGAGACTGATCCCACTAGGATGTTAATTATGTTGCTTATTAGCTCTTTGGTGAATGATTATTAGTAGTAGCCTAGTGGGTTCCTTGAGCCGAATGGGTGGGTGGGAGGGTTGGAGAGGTATTGAAACACTTAACCAGACGAGGCAGTTTCATGCTTCTCAGCAGCCATAAGTCGCTCCTTATTAGCACGAACCAGTTCAGCTCTACGATCCTGTGGAAATAAATCAAATAATTAAAACTTGGACTGTTCAATTAATCAAATTATGAAAATAAAAAAAAAAAAAAAAAAAATTAACAAAAATAACCCAAACATAGGAGAGAAACAGCTTACGACGACATTTTGGTCTGACTTTGACCATTTAGAAAATCACACTACCTTCATAAAAACAAAGTTGAAAATGGAAGAAAAAAAAAAATGCCTTCATGAAGTTTATACTGCTAAATTATGCTCCTCTCTACTCACGCTCTCTTCCTTAGCCTTTTTTGCCTTTTCTGCTAGCTCCAAACGGTTCTTGTCTGCAATCTCCAATTTCTGCTCCAACTTTTCCGCAGTCTTCTTTTTTAGCTCTTCCTCTTCCTTAGTACGGTTTTCTTGAGCTTGTTCTAATTTTACTGAAATTGTCTTTGTTATTTCTTGCCTTTTTGCCTCTTTCTCCTCGGAAATTTTCCTCAATCTCTCTTCTTTGGCAGCAATGTCTTGCTCTCTCTGCTTCAGAACTTCTTCCTTTTTCTTAGATACAAGCTCTTGGGCTTCACTAATTTTATTAGACTGCCATAAAGGGAACCAAAATAACAACTAAAACAAAAGTAAACTTAGAATAAACTAGTAAAATTTTTGAAAATTATGCAACTAAAAACTTTCTGGAATATGTAATACCTCAGAGGTACAGCAACACTGCAAATTTTATTATTTAGAATTTTCAAATAAAGATACTTATTTGCATACTGCAGTACTAAATGTCACACTGAAGTAATCTTTCCTGTCAACATATGACTGATAAAAGCTTTAAAGACACTGGAGAGAACATGGAAAAAAAATGCAATCTAATCCATTTCTTTTTATTATTAAAGCAACATTGAGGCAAGATTTGTTCAAATACTAAGTTTATGATGATTTTGTTCAGGTATTCAACTACTTTAATGAAAAGATGTTAAGTAAATGTGGTATTTGTACTAGTGAAAACCTGCCACCAAGGCAAAGTCTACAGCATCCATCCACTTATAGCCAGGGCACCAACACACAATAGTTAGTCTACAATGAACCAAGAACCAATTGAGCGAGCAATCATGACAAGAACAGCAAACAGGACTTTGTAATCACACACACAGTCCCAGCAAAGACAATACCTCTAATTTCTGGCTCGTTTGAATGATTTTCTAGATGGGATCAAGTCAAATCTGTTTGGGCAAGTTGCAACTGGTCAGGCAAGTGGTTTAACCCCAGCAAATGCAAGGTCATGAAGACTGGTGAAGAGGCCAAAGGACTGGACATGACTGACAGGTCAGACTTCAAAGAGAAGGACCTAAGGGTGAGCAGTGCCTAATATATCAGGGGGTAATGTCAATCTAATTTCTGCAACCAATGCTGCTCTGGCATATATAGGTTTGCCCTTCAGCAATCTAAAAATAAAGCATTCTGGGCTCTACAACACCTGTCAGGCCCATAATGGAGCATGCACCTGAGGAAGCATGTTAAACTGGATGAAGTGGGGAAGTATGCAACATGGCTTGTTCTTGAGTTGAGGGACACTAATTACAGGATGCTAACTGAATTTAATCTAATCTAACAATACTGGAGGATAGACAAACCCATGGGTAGACATGGTAACCTACCTTACTGTCAGCATTAATACCTTTCATTTAATACTTTGGCAACATCACAATATCTTGTTACAGCAAATATCTTAATCTACAACTTACAGCACAGCTTTTGTAATCAAGAATTTCACACATGACTGACCACCATTAACATACTTGTTCATCACGTGCTAAACCTGACCACTATTTCCACATTCAGCACATTACACATCCTCTAGCAAGCCTTGCAATACTACTACACTGCTCCACTAATTCAAGTCTCTTCTTTCTTATGTCAATGATAAGGCCCTTGGAGGGCAAAACAATTAAGATACCCAGGTGTTGCTCATGTTAGGAACATATTTTACTGCACCTACCATAGGCAAACCAGCAAAATTGATTATATTTGAAGATTACCTCCATAAACATCTGGACAGAATGAGCTAAAAGTCAAACAAGCCAAAGTCACTCAATAAAAATGTCAAGCATAGTATTAAAGTATTAGTTTACACAATGTGTACATTAGTAATACTGCAGTATACAATGTTCATATAAATTTCAACAGAACAAATAACAGCAATGAATTAATCTTCAAGAAGTTATTTTAGCTAAATTGCCATGGTTTAATTTAAACAAACTTATTTCACATACGTGTTCACGAAGGGTTTCTAGCTTCTTCATGATCTCTGTCTCTCGTTTTGCTTCTGCAACCACCAGTTTAGCCTGAATCCTCTCCTCTAGCTGTCTAATAGCCTCCTCATGACCTAGGCGAACCTTCTGGGCATATTCCTCCTGAAAAATTTAAATAATTTAAGGGGAGAAAAAATATTTAAGCACTACTTAAACTATTTTCACTACAATAATAGAAAATGATACAATGTATACAATTATTTAGTCAGTAATACATCTAAAAGTATATTGCCATTCAACACTAACATGATCTTTCAGCTTCTCCAACATCTTTCCCATGTTCTCATTTCTATTTTCTTCAGCAGAGCGCAGCTTGTCTTCAATAGTTTGGCGCAGCTCATTTGTCTGAATTTCTAACTGCTTACGCACACTATCCACATTGTTAAGCTGAAATAGATTAATTAGTATGGAATTAATTGGGAAGCTCTAACCCCAGAAGGTTTAAAGTCTTTAGAATAATGAAATTACTTTAACCCCTTGGGGGTCAGCAGGTCCTCTCAGAGACTTGTTCTCAGGGTCGGCCAAATTTAAAAAAAAAAAAAAATTCTTATGAAAAGATAGAGAATCTTTTCCCAATCATAATGACACCAAAAGTATGAAATTTGATGGAAAACTTACGGAATTATGCTCTCGCGAAGTTTGCGGTCTCAATGATCTTTATGCATCGGCAATTTTGCCCAATTTGAGCCCTATTTTCGGCCAATTCCAGTGTACTAGTCGACAAAAATCATAACTATTTTGCTAGAACTCCATTTTTTCTATCGAATGAGCACAAGAAACCACCCATTTACCAATTTCAACTATCCAATGAAGTGGTCAGAATTTAGCAATTTTGCCAATTTCACACAAATTTCAAAAGATGTCAATTTCCGAATAGGGTCCAGAATAAACAAGAGACATTCCTGGCATTACAATAACAAGTTCTCTGTTCATTAGTCACATCCCCAGGCCCCTCTTATATTTCTTTGGCTTTCCACTTTGAATTTTTATTATTACAAAAAAATAAGATTTACTGTTATGCAGATTACTGCATTAGTGTAGAAATAGTATAAATAATATCAGCACACTTGTGAAAAGAATATTAGACTCACCAGTTGATGTGTATTGGACGCTTGGCATGATTTGTTTACTTTTGAACTTTGGTAAAAATTGAACATTTCTGCTAATTTGAGCTCAATTTCAAGGTACTTTTCATTGTAAAACCAGTCACAATCATCACAATTTCTGTAATATGTCTTCCATTCTATAAAATGAGACCAGGAAAACTAGAATACAACAATAAATACCAATTAATCCCAAAACACGGTCAGTTTTTTTTTCTCATTACGCACTGCTGCAGGATTTTTTTTTATACTGTGCACACTACCATATAGACCCATTCTTTCATATGGAGGCCTACCAGCTTTCTCACTAGATTTGAGGGCCCTAGAATTTAGGCGCTAGTACGTCAAAAACCCTGGGTCGTAAGCCGTACTAGTACGTCTGAAACCCCCAAAGGGTTAAACCAGGTACTGGAGGGCTTCCCCACGTTATACCACTTATCTAATACAGCCGTTTTCAATTACAACTACAGTGGACCCCCGCATAACGATATTGATCCGTTCCTGAGAGCTCATTGTTATGCGAATGAATTTTCCCCATAAGAAATAATGGACATCAAATTAATCCGTGCAAGACACCCCAACGTATGAAAAAAAAATTTGCCACATGAAATATTAATTTTAATACACACAAACTGAAAAAGGCATGCACAATTACATGACACTTACCTTTATTGAAGATCTGGTGATGATTGATGGGATGGGAGGAGGAGTGTGTCTTAGTGTTTAGAAGGGGAATCCCCTTCCATTAAGACTTGAGGTGTCAAGTCCTTTTCTGGGGTTACTTCCCTTCTTTTAATGCCACTAGGACCAGCTTCAGAGTCACTGGACTTCTGTCGCACAACATATCTGTCCATAGTGGCCTGTACCTCTCGTTCCTTTATGACTTCCCTAAAGTGTTTCACAACATTGTCAGTGTAATAGTCACCAGCATGGCTTGCAATAGCTGTGTGAGGGTGATTTTCATCCATAAAGGTTTGCACTTTCAGCAACATTGCACAGATTTCCTTAATCTTTGTAGTAGGCAACTTCTTCAATTTCTCTCCCCTCCTCCGAACCAGTTTCCTCAGGTCTGGCCTCTTGCTGTTGAAGTTGATCTAGCAGCTCATCAGTGGTTAGTTCTTCATTGTCCTCCTCCACCAACTCTTCCACATCATCCCCACTAACCTCCAACCCCAAGGACTTTCCCAATGCCACAATGGATTCCTCAACTAGCATACTCCTCTCAGGGTTAGCCTGAAACCCTTCAAAATCCCTTTGGTCTACACATTCTGGCCACAGTTTCTTCCAAGCAGAGTTCAAAGTCCTCTTAGTCACTCCCTCCCAAGCCTTACCTATAAGGTTTACACAATTGAGGATATTAAAGTGATCTCTCCAAAATTCTCTTAAAGTCAATTGAGTTTCTGAGGTCACTACAAAGCACCTTTCAAACAGCTTTTGTGTACAGTTTTTTGAAGTTTGCAATAACCTGCTGGTCCATGGGCTGCAGGAGAGGAGTGGTATTAGGAGGCAAAAACTTCACCTTAATGAAGCTCATGTCCCCATAAAGTCGCTCTGCCATGTCTGTAGGATGACCAGGGGCATTGTCTAACACCAGGAGGCACTTAAGGTCTAATTTCTTTTCAGTTAGGTAATCTTTCATATTTGGGGCAAATGCATGGTGTAACCAGTCATAGAAAAAGTCCCTAGTGACCCATGCCTTACTGTTTGCCCTCCACAGCATACACAAATTAGCCTTGAGGATGTTCTTTTGCCTGAACGCTTTGGGAGTTTGAGTGATACACTAATAAAGGCTTCACTTTGCAATCACCACTAGCAATGGAACACATCAACAGAGTAAGCCTGTCTTTCATAGGCTTATGTCCTGGGAGTGCCTTTTCCTCCTGAGTAATGTAGGTCCTGCTTGGCATTTTCTTCCAAAACAGGCCTGTTTCATCACAATTAAACACTTGTTCAGGTTTCAGTCCTTCACTGTCTATGTACTCCTTGAATTCCTGCACATATTTTTCAGCTGCTTTGTGGTCCGAACTGGCAGCCTCACCATGCCTTATCACACTATGTATGCCACTACGCTTCTTAAATCTCTCAAACCAACCTTTGCTGGCCTTAAATTCACTCACATCACTAGTTGCAGGCATTTTTTTAATTAAATCCTCATGCAACTTCCTAGCCTTTTCACTTATGATCACTTGAGAGATGCTATCTCCTGCTATCTGTTTTTCATTTATCCATACCAATAAGAGTCTCTCAACATCTTCCATCACTTGCGATCTCTGTTTCGAAAACACAGTTGAACCTTTGGCAAGAACAGCTTCCTTGATTGCCGTTTTGTTGCCCACAATAGTAGCGATGGTTGATTGGGGTTTATTATACAACCTGGCCAGCTCGGAGACATGCACTCCACTTTCATACTTATCAATGATCTCTTTCTTCATCTCTATAGTAATTCTCACCCTTATTGCTGTACGGTTGGCACTAGAAGCTTTCTTGGGGCCCATGGTCACTTATTTTGCAGATAAAATCTGCAAAAACACTGTAATAATACGAAATGTTTTGATTGTATGCTTGGATGTTACCGCGGAGGCTGGCTGGTAAACAATGCCACCGGCGGAACATGCGAGGCTGGCTCAGGCCACACAGACGTGTCTCGGACGAACAGCATTGAGCGGGTTTTTTTAGCGGTGTGCGAGGCAAAATCTTAGCGATAAAATGTATCGGTATGCGGATTTAACGTTATGTAAGGCCAACGGTATGCGGGGGTCCATTGTATTCTTCATTTATTCAGACTTCCTACAATACAATAATTTTGTCCTTAGCTGTAAGCGAAGGACAAAAATACTTCAGGTTAAGGTGTGAACTGTACATGCATATTTTTTTTTAGGCCTTGCTCTACTGCCCATTTAATTTATGACAATGTAAACCATGTTATCAGGCACTATGGGGGGGGGGGGGGGGGGGGGGAGGAGAGAGAAAAATAGAGAAAAAGGGAGAGAAAAAAAGGGGGGGGGGGGGTTTGTCAGAAAAAAAGATCTACAGTTTCACTGTACAGCAGGTTAGCTGTATAAGCAGAGCCTGCCTGTATTCAATAGGAAAAAAAAATGGATAATTCTAGATAATTTATCTCTGGAAGCCTAGATGAAGCAGAACCAGTGGAACCTAAAGGACTACCAATTGCCCAAAACTGGAAAAAATTAAATGTCCAGTAACTAATGAAAGAAAGTTGTCAAGAAAAAAAAAAAAAAAAAAAAAAAAAAAAAAAAAAACACTGGAGCATCTGAGATTTTTTCCAGGAATAAGGAAATCATGTCTTAGAAATGGGATTTTAATGAGTTAACTTAGACAGCCCTACACAAGCCCACAAATTAGAATTACAGGAATAGAAGGTATTCTTGGTCAAGACTTGAAACCCTGCCAATGTCTCCATTTGACAATCCCTCTTGACTTCCATCTCTTGCCTTTAATATTTTAGAGCCTGGACACTGGTATCATCACAGTCCTTGAAACCCAGACATGGCACCACTCCATAAAGGTGGCAGTAAAGCCACAAAGATCTTGTCTGCAGATGTAGTTGAAGAGGCTGCTGGAGTGTAATTCAAACCAATTCAGTTATACAGATGGGGCAAGGAAAAATTGAAAACACTACCTAGGAGATAAGTGGGAATCTGATGCTAAGTCTATCTTAGCTTTCTTAGTGCAACCAAAGGATAGCATGAAAAGATACTGGATGGTCTAATCTCAAGTCTGCACAACACAACATACCAGTGTGAGAAGTGTAAAATGGACCAAGTAAAATGTAGGGAAGCCAAAGGCATGAGAACTGAATCAACATCCTTAACCCTCTCAGGGTCCATGCTGTAGATCTACAGCTTTGAGTTGAGGGTCCAAACAGTAGATCTATGCCATGAGCTCAGTTCACTCTGATAAACTGCGAGCGGTAAATTTGGGCCTAGATAAGAGAGAATACATCTATATGGTATGTGTGCACCACAAATCCTGCAGCACACATTGCATAATGAGAAAAACACAGACCATAATTTTCGATTAAAACTGAATCTGCAGCGTTTTTCCTTATGTTTTTTTATAGTTTTTTGTGATTTCTTTGTCTCATTTGATAGAATGAGATGTATATTACAGAAATAGAGATTATTTTAATTAGTTTTAGTACTGGAAATGGTTGAAACTGAGCTCAAAGTAGAGGAAATGTTAAATTTTTGCCGATGTTCAAGAGTAAACAAATGACCTCGCATGTCTAATACACACAAATGCGGCAATATTTATACAATTATTACAATACTGCATAACGGTAAATCTTTTATTTTTTTGGTTTGAATAAAAAATCAATGGAATTCATTTGTAAAGCCTCAAAATGTAACTAATGAACAGAGGAAATGTTAGTTTAGTGCCAGGAATGCCTGCATTGTTTATTCTGGACCCTATTTTGAACTGTGTTAAATTGGCCAAATTACCATTTTCCGATCACTATTTTGTAGTTTAAACAGTTGACATGGCAATTTCTTGTGCTCAATCGATAGAATAGAAATAATACTAGTGAAATAGCTAAGAATTTGGTCGACTGGAATAATGCAATTGGCCTAAAATGGGAGTCAAAGTCGGCAAAATCGCCGATGCATACATATCGCCGACACATCAAAATTTGAGAGAGCATAATTTTGTCAATTTTCCATCAAATTTCGTACTTTTTTGTCTTCTTACCTTCAGAAAAAGATTCTCTACCATTTCATAAGAAAAAATAACTTAAATTCTTGGACCCTGGTGCACTCTGAAATTTGGCTTCTGGACCCTGAAAGGTTTAAGACCAGATTTTCCAATTTACTACCAGCAGTTATCAAATACTACAAAAAGCAATGGAAATGTCTGAAGATTAACCTAGGTAACTACCTCTGCAGTGTACCATAACATCCAAGATGTATTGGATATGTAGGCCAGTGGGCTGCTAACAGCAACGACCTGGTCAACCAAGCAACAGGGAGGTCTGGCCCAAGGCACACGAGTAGGAAATTTGCAAAAATGGGTCATGAAACAAATTATAAGCAATTTCCAATTACTGGCAAGAACAATAATTATGCATTAGAAACATCTCCAGTAAATAAAGCTGAAATACACTCACATGGTCAGATATCTTTGCACGCAGACCATTGAGGTACGCCTCACGGTTACTGGAGGTAGTGTCGAGCTTGTCTTCTAGGGCAGTTTGAGTTGCAGCAATGAAAGCAGCAGTAGACTCTTCTCTCTTGCGACTGGCTTCTTCCAGACGGGTCATGCGTTCTCCAACACTAGCTAGGCGGGAGGCCTCCACTGACTGGAAGACAAGTCTTTATTGTATGAAAAAAACACCATCCTCTCAATATTTAAAGTAATTATTTTTCCAAATCTGTCCTCTGAACTAAATTTAAAAATTATATTTTATGTATAGCACAACATTAAGGTTTACCTTCCTGCGTTCTTCAGCTTGCAACAACTTCTGGGCAATCTCTTCAGCAGTCATACTCTTGGGTCTTGGGGAGACTGCTGTGGTTGTTGGCTTATCAGCAGATGGCTCGGCAAGGATAACCTCATAACACATACCACCACGAGACTTTTCCTCACACCTGATCTCTGTGGCTGTAAAAAAAATATGAAAGTGCAGCTATTAGCAAAAAGTTACAATAGCTAAGCCTGTAAATTCAGAATGCCTCTTTAATAAAGAAATACCTAAACACTTTAGCTGTGTGAATTTGATAAGTACATCTGAATGCAAGACATGGATGAAAATACAGTACATACTGTCTTTTCCTCCAAGTAGTTACTGTATGCAACAAAATTTCAAATTAGTCCAAGACCTTCTCGAGAGTATCCCCCCCCCCCTGCCCATGTACAATAAAAGTCACAATTACAAGAGGTATTTAAAAAAAAAAAAAAAGCAATAATAGGTTAGAAGAGCACAAGTAATGCCTCTCCAAACTGCAGTTAAGGTCTATAGGTCTATATATACACCCAAACCCCCAAAGGCTCAGCCTAGGACAAGCCATTAAAATTTGGTACACAAGGTTGTGCACAACAGCACGAGGGTACCACATCCTCAACTGGTAAAGTAGTACCAGTGTGACTGGAAAGAGGGCAGCCACACAAGTTGCCAAAATTTTTTTTTGCTCTTCTGGATGGCCTGGTTGGACCCACTTCGTCCTGTAAAATCATAAGAGGCTAAACTAATGCATACACAATACAGCAGCCTTTGCCTCACCCTCTGCCCATTAACTGCTTGGTAACCTGTAACCTGAAAAGTACCAGACAGCAACAGAATAAGTCGTCAAGCCAGGTGTAGATCATGCAGGACTAAAGCATTAACATCTCCAGGTCAACCCAACGGCACCTCACACTAAATCAGTATTTAATTTATTCCAGCTACAAGGCAACTCAATTCTACTCTGCAAGCTTTATAAAGCAATAAGGCTTACAGTGATAAATGGAATACAAATACAGGCTAGTCTTATTAGAATCATCCCCCTGGAGTAAAATGTACTAATCAAGTTCCCATGAATTTAGTGTCTTCTTACCAATTAGCATGTTAATAACAAGCATAAGTGAGTGAATAAGTGTGTTTTTATTAATGTAAACAGGTGGTGTTGGCAGAATGAAGATATTCCATAGTTACCAGAACAGAATATCAACAACCAATGTCTTCAGGATTTTAAATTACACCAGCTCTCCATGATGGCAATTGGTAAGGAAAGAAGAGCAAGAAGGTAATGTAATGTAGTAAGAGTGAGACTTCCACAGCAATTTTAAAATAATGCACATGAATTCTCAAACCCTTTAAGAGGATTAAAAGATAATTCCTTGGGGAAAAAAAATTAATATATATTATAGATATACATCTCGGCTAACATGTCAAGCACAGTAAGAAACCTCCCCCCTCAAAAAATAGATGGGCAATTTTTAAAATACTTAACTCAAAACATTACTTTGTACTACTTTTTAAGGTATTCTCACTTATGGTACATGCACATGGGGATCTGCAAATGAAAAACCCTACCTTCCTTTTGTGAAATGGTCACAGTTTAAATTCACACAATACAAAATCGCCACACATTACTGTGCGTAAAAAAATAAAGGACACTATACAAATATAAACTTTGGCTTGTTTTTAGAGGGCTGTAAAAGAATGCAGGGATGAGAAACTCCTCTGATATCCCAGGTTCTCAACTTAACCCCGAGTAGAATTCATGCAAATAAAGCCCATAAGCACTTCCTTGTTTCATTAAGTTTGATTAGCCTATAAGGCATGATAAAAACCTGTTGCACAGAAAATGTTCAAGTTTCTAATTACTGCTTATGGGCATCAACTACAAGTTATCGATATTCTGGTATTCTTTTACCACAGTATTATTACAAGATGAGTCAGAGTTAATAAGGACCTGCCTAGCATGGACCAGGAGACCTGCTGCCATGCTCCTCCTTTCTGATGTTACCAAGTACCCATACAGTAGTAATGTACTGCAGTGCACTTTCGCATTCATTTGAAAAAACAACCACTAGCTTAACTAATTCATAAAAAACAACACTTGAGCTAATTAAGTCTTGTACTACTTCATTAACGTGCAAGTACGCATCAGACAGTATCCAACTATGTCTAGCAATATTCCTCTCCTTCCTTTCAGATTAATAGAAATCTTAAGGTATAGTATAATATTTTTATTGCTACCTCCTATCAGTTTTTATTCATGGTTTCATTAATGAAGGGTGGGGTGTAAACCACCCAATAAATATTAGAGGGGACGATATTTTCAAGTTTATTTTTGCAGTTAGCCGTCACAAGCTGCTTCCCCATCTCTACCACTCTTAAGTACTGTATGTTGAACAACTGCACCAAGGAATATTTTTGAAGTTTAATTTACATGAAAATTAACTATTGCAAAAGTGTATAATTAAATAGCAAGGGGACTGCTAGTCAACAGGTATTCAACAAGTGTTGTTACTCTGCTGAATTTCTTTAATTCAGTTTCCCTGATGAATCAATGTGTACATTAAAATTTAGAATAATTTTTAATTAAATAAAATTAATAATCAAGAAGGCTATAATCCAGCAAATGGATGAAGCTGAAGACTAATGATTAGTGACCATGGGAAAGAGGAACGAAAAGCCAAGAGGCTACCTTCATCATGGATACCTGCAATGCGACATGGACACCAAAGTTGAATTTAAAGTAAGTATGGCTGCTAATATCAGCTGCAGTATTTTCAAGAAAAGTGGCTATACTAAGTCTTAGTTTTTCTATCATTCTTACGTATCTTACGATACGATTACATCAATTCTATGCAAATGTTTACCAGAAAAGCTTGGAATAATTTGTGTGTTGGGGAGTAAGCAAATGTCATTTAGATGTGGAGACTAAACTTCCCCTAGAACAAGCCGCGGCAACTAAGAGTTCACTGGCCTGACGGGACCTAGTATGACGTCAAGAGAAACTGGGAAAGTCTAATCTGTAGACTACCTTCCGCCATCTCTTGCAAATTTAAGCTGCCTCTCTCTTCCCTATCCTCCTATCCACGAGTGTGCAAGATACAATCAGTACGAGAGTCAATGTTAGTCATGCAGACACCATCGGCTATGGCGGCGGATGGCACCACCCTAAACGTCACTGGGAGGCCGCCACAGCCAATGCGGCGCCCTACTCTTGACCTTTCCAGACACAGACAACCTCCCCCCCCCCTCCCTCGTCCTCCGTCCACGCTTGCCTCATGAAGGAAGGTTACTCTTGCTTTCAAACATCGCTGCTGTTTTCAAGCAGACTATCTATTGTCACTATATTAAAGAAAAAAAATGTCCACGCCACACAAAGTTTATCCTTCATTTGGTATCTATTTTGAGTCGCCATAACTGCTCCCTAAATTTAATCCATCCAGCTACGTACAGTTAAGAACACAAGGAGCAGTGCAGCAGGCCCATTGGCCCATGCTAGGCAGGTCCAAGTCACATCCATTCATGTATTCCTCTAAACCATTTTTAAAATTATACGAAGTTTAAGCTTCAGTGACTACTATGGAGTTTGTTCCACTCATCTACAACTATTACCAAACCAGTGCTTTCCTACATCCTTCCTAGATCTAATTTTTTCCAACTTTAAACTATTGTTGCATGTCTGTCTTGATAGATACTTTCAGCTCTTACATCCACAAGAACATAAAGGAGGAACACTGTAGTAGGACTGCTAGCCCATACTTAGCAGGTCCTTTACAATACCAACCCACTAACAGTGCTACCCTAATAAATTTGACATGTGCAACTCTTGGGCATCTTTACTGAGGAAACGTTTCGCCACACAGTAGCTTCATCAGTCCATACAAAGGAGAATCTTGAAGAACAGGAGGAGAATGAGGTAATCAGTCTCTCAACCTTGAGTCGATGTGGTCAGTCCATCAATCTTGAATAGAATACGGCATATGAGCTGAGGAGCTTATAAACCGTAGGCAGGAGAGGTGCAGCAGTCGTAGATGGTGTCACATTTGTTCAATGTGGAAGTAGGTCGTGCCCAAGGGTTAGGCAAGCGAAGAATTCCCAAGTATTAAGATCCCAAGAAGTTGCAGTGTGACAGGATTGTAGATGAATGGTTCAAAGAACAGACACGTTTCCTCAATAGATACCCAAGAGTTGCACCCGTGTCTAATTTATCAACGTGTCGGTTATCTGAACCATTCATCTACAAGTGCTACCCTAACAATAAGCTCTGACAAATCCATTTACTCACGTGCAAGTCCCACTCAAATCCAACCCCTCTCATTCATGCATTTGTCCAACTTAAAGTAGAAACTAGCTTTAATAACCCTACTAGGCAGATTGTTCCACTCGCTACCCTATTTCCAAACCAATACTTTTCTATATACTTTCTAAATCTAAACTTATCTAATTTGTTTATTTATTCCCGTTTTCCATTTATACACATTCATATCCCCCCTAATTCTACGCCTTTCTAGAGTGCAGATTAGTTTTCCAGCACACTTGTATCCATTCTGTATAAGACTAACTAGTTAATATTAAGACTGCAAATTTTGGCATAAAATAAGCATTAACTTTGCAGGTTACGAGCTGTTATCTTACCCAGGTACCTACTTCCTGCTAGGTGAACAGGGGCAGGTGTAGGAAACGTGCCTAATATGTCCACTCGTGCCGGGAATCGAACCATGGACATTCAGTGAGAAGTGTACGCTACCAACCAAACCACGAAAGTTTTAAACTAAATATAACCTTAGTTACAGAGGACGAGGTGGGTGCAAGGTTTGATTATTTTATTCCTTACAATTTAGTTATAATAAGAACATTCTGACAACTACCAACAGTGGTCCCAATATTCTGCAAACTGGTCAGGAAAAGTAATACTGAAGTCTTCAATGGAACCACATGACTGCATAGCTAGCAGTGTGCAATTTTCCCTACAAGTATGAGCAGTTTCCAAAGGCTGAGCTGTAGTGGTAAACGGAGGATAACGGGACTGAAGTCTGTGCAGTTTAACACAAGTTGACATTGTTTCCAGTCAGTATAGTATCTACTTACAGTGGTTAATCCTGAAACCACGACCATGGGAATGACAGCCCTCCCCCCAAACCCCATAAATACTACCAGCCAGCTTCAAAAACCTTTATTCATACCTTTAATTTTTAATAAAATGCACAGAATTAGGACGTCAAACCAGACATATTTATCCAAATAAAAACTTTTAAACTTACCAACAATATAAGATCCATACACATCAAAGTACAGCATAATAAATTCGTCTTAAGATTACAGGAAAGACCAGGGCTGCGTGCATAGCTGTCAAGTGTGGCGAACACCACAATACCATACTCACCAACATATTTCCTGCACTTCTTGGGCTGTTTGCACTTTGGTTTCTTCTGGCCCTTCTTGATGGGCTTCTTATGATACCGGCCTAAAATAAAGAGCCATTTAAGTTACCTAAGTTTACTATTACATTATGGCCTGCAGGTCGAAACTTTCAGATGTTTTGAGTATACTCAACTGTTATTGCTTTTAAGCAGTCCTCTAAAGGAAACTTACCTGATTAGCATTTTTCACTTAAAAGCTAATGTATCAGCAATGCGACTTCTTTTCTCCCTCTCCCCCTCTCTCCCAGCCAGAGTAGAAACATTGGACGTGTTTCTTTCCACCTGTTGTCTATGTTCCCCATCAGTAAAATGGGTACCTGGGTGTTAGTCGACTGGTGTGGGTCGCATCCTGGGACACTGACCTAAGGAGGCCTGGTCACAGACCGGGCCGCGGGGGCGTTGACCCCCGGAACTCTCTCCAGGTAATCCCTCTCTCTCTCTCTCTCTCTCTCTCTCCCCCTCTCAGCGTGTCACGGCAAAATTTCAAAATTAAATTTTCCCAGCTGCAATGGTCACATACCAGGAAATCATCCTTTATCTATATGAAATTTCCGCATTAGGTATCTAAAATATACTACCATTGAGCTGTCTCGAGCAGACCGGATATTTAATAAAAAAAGTAAATATGAATAAAGCTTTCACATGTCACTTATCAAGCTTAAAAGTTTGTACAAAGTTGTGTACACAAAATGCTTGGAAACGGAATAACAGGAAAAGTGGACAGATGAATATTTAATTTTCTGACTGACAGAACCCGGGGTATAGCAGCGAACAGTGAAATTGGAGGCTGCTATATCTAAGTTATTCCCCAAGGCGCAGTGCTGAACTTAATCTGTTCCCTTCCTCATGCAGAAACGTATCATTCTTTGCAGACAAAATCTTTGTGCGGGCAGCCATCATACGGCAAATCTCCAAGCTAGAAGTCTTCCATTGGGCCAATGACAACAAATTTAAAGTTACTTCATTATGGGAAGATTGAAGAAATAAAGACTAAACGGAATATAAAAAACTCGTCACTCACCATAACTTAAGACTGATAAGAAACCTAGGAGTGAATAGCTCAGATCTCACCTTCAAGGATCTCAACAGTTTCACTATCAACAGGGAGGAAAATGATGGGCTGGATAATTAGAACCTTCAAAACAAGTCCCTTAGTCTCTAGGGCCAGGCAGTACCGAACCCTAACGGAGGGAGGATGGGTGTTTCCTTCTCGCATTTGACATAAGGGCGATACCTCTCTAGAATGGTTGTTGTTTGCCAACCTACTACTAGCCGGTAGGAGACTTGGACCTGCCTCGCATGGGCCAGTGGGCCTTCTGCAGTGTTCCTTCGTTCTTATGTTCTTAGCCTAGCTTGGGGTAGGCACAGATCCAGGCAGACCAGGAACAATGTGAAATACCAGACCGTAAAGGATGCAGACAACTCTGCATAATGGACTCTGTAGAACTAGTCAAGAATTAGACTAGTAACCCTAACATCCCACATTACAAGTGTTCGAAAGAGTAATGGGACTGCAAATTACAAAATTTTATGGAATAATCTGTACAAGTCAAACGAGCATGGTTTTAGTGCCAGGAGCTCATACTTGTCACAACACAGGCGTTAAAACAAAAGCAAAACGCTTATGTGGTATACACTGATTTTGCAAAGACGTTTGACATGCAATGGGGGGGGGGATCCTACGAGTGTCTGAACACAGGTCCCACAATAACTAAAACCACTGATACAGCCCCAGGAAAAAAGTGGTAGAATAAGCGCGCACACACACACACAAAAAGAAACCTAGCGATAAATACCTTTGAGTTTCGAGTTTCACTACTCTGAGCCCGGCCTCGTCTGGTGCTTGCCTGAATGTGACGTCGCATCAAAATCTTTTGAAAGTTTTAAGCAGCAGGACTGCCAAACACTCATAACTACACAACACAAGGGCTACATGGGTTTAAACTGGTCGTACATACTTAGATGCACTGGAAGACTAGCAAAAATGATTTACCTACTTAGCAAAATCCTTCGACAAGTATGATCTGTAAAGTACTCTAGGGCCTGGTCCCAAATCTGCACACTGTCATAACATACTGGAGATATGGAAGTGCAAAATAAACCCAATGAGGAACAGGGGTGCGGTGGGGACAATAAGGGAACACTATCAACATCCGGGGTCCCAGACTATTCAACATCTTACCAGAAGATATCAGAAACACGGCTGGAACAAGTGTAGAAGCCTTCAAGAGGAAACTGGACAAGTATCTTCAAGTGCCAGATCAACCAAACTGATGGATAAGTGGGGCAGCGGGCCTCCAGCAGCAACAGCTTGGTTGACTAGGCAAGCACCAGACGAGCCCGGTCCATGGTCGGGCTCCAAGAGTAGTGAAACACTAAAGGTATATCAAAGGTACATGTGGTACCCTGGGGTACCACATTCACCTATTTAATGGAGTGCCCTGCATTACGCATTAAGCATGGCTGGACTGTTACAAGTATCTGCCTCTCCAACACTGCCTTTACATCCCACCTATACACTCACGGGAGCCAAGAGGGCGTGGTATACAACCCATGAGGACGAGCGAGCTATTCACCTTTTGTAGATGGAATCGTCAATCGCCTAAACAATGATTACAAGATCCATCCCTATTTAGGAGCTTTAGCTGTATAGAATACATTTGACAATATTGGATGAAGCTGGTAGTCAGCCACAACATGGCCAAGACAACACAGGCGGCGGCGGTAGCTAGTGCAGACCGCGCCCTGTGCATAGCCCGCCAGATCAATACCTGTCTCGAGCGTGGGTGATAGTGAGCACGCCATGCTATGACCATGTGTACGGCTCTTCACGTCAGTCAACGAAATCACTACACAACCACTGACTAAGTCACCATACATAATGCACCTGCTGTTACTGGCGACAGCTAAGCAGAATTAAATACTGCCAATCATTAACTGAACTACAGCGAGGAAGAGTCAGAGGCACTGGTAGGCGAGACTGGTGGGGGGACATGTAAACGAATAACCAGCCATTGCATTAGTCAAGGATACTGCTAGGTAAGTCGAGACTAATTTTTTTTTTTTTAGCTTTGATCCCATGCAAACCTGGAACACTGGACGTACATAAACTAACGAGAATCAGGCTGAGTATTTGAATAATACTTTAAAGCCCTTCTCAGTAAAGCTAATACTATCTGGTAAGTGACCAAACAGAATACGGGCTATTCAGTGATTTTTAACAGTTGCAAACATTATCAATGCGTTGCTAGTATGAATTTTCAGCTGTTTGCTACCACTGATAACATTTTGCTGAATGATATCTAAAAATTAACCAGCATATAATTTATACAATTTTAAGCTATCTAATTAATCTAATTTGGGAAGAACTGTATGCAAATCAATGGAAACTGATCTCCGGTTCAGGCGGAAAAGACGTTATGTCGTGTTAGGCACTCAAGCCACTTATCTCGATAAAACAGCCTAGCTAAATTAGGAAATTGTTTAGTCAATCCTCCATTTTAACAATTAGCATTATGTTAGGATACCTCTGGACGTGACAGTTAAGAGAAAATAAAAATGTCTTAGCGAACATCTGTTTTTGACTAGTGGATTTCTGGTCACTTACTGTACACATTCATACTGCTAATGAATAGCCAATTAATGTTTATTCATTGGGTGGACGTCCTGGACGATACAGCAGGAGCAAACCATTTCTACACATCTACATCCACTGACAGTCACAAATGCAATATATGTAATGGTTGCTACTGCATTAACAATTTCAGACCAATACCAGACGTTAGCCACTAGACTTGCCAACATTTGCACAGATAAGTTTCTTGGTAATACTAAAGCGAAGCACTCGGCCAACATATTCAAGCGTTAATGCATGCTCATTTTTCAAAAACAGTGATGCTATACATAATCACGTTGCCAGCTAGTAATCTAATGGGTAACCCCAAGTATGCTGTTTCGCCCTTAACTAAACTAATTATTTCCGACAGAAAAATATTCTAAAATTTACCGTGCTGGGAATAATAAGCCATTAAGTACTTTGTAGGTTAAAATTACTAACCCATCACCCCTCCAAGTAACGAAAAGTTAGCAAAAAATATTTTAACACCAAAGATCCGTTAAAATTATAAGCTACTTTCCCAAAATTTCACACATCTTCAGAGGAAAAAAAATAGTAGTCTATGTACTCGTCTGCCAGTTGCATTCCACAAGTCTCATTTATACAAATTATGAAGCGTCAAGTCTTGAGTGGTATTTATTCCTTGCAGGAAGTGTTGGAGGCACTCCGTCCATTTATGTGAGAGACGCTGCTATTGGTGATCTCTGAAAGTGTCAAGGGTAGGAATCCGTAAGCATGTGGTTCCCACAATATTCGGTGGTTACTCAGCTGCTATGCCTAAAACAAGGCATATGGTATGTCCATGGGACCGTGAAAACATCAGCAAACAGAAGCCTACACAAACCGGTTCTTTTAATCTACCATTTCTAAGCAAACTTTTTTCATCTTTCATATGAAATTGTGTGGTTATCACTAAATTCACTTTCAAAATATTTAAACCGTGTAACATTAACGTAATGAATAAATATGGCAATATATACATGACAAAGCTGTGATACGAGCCAGCGGGTCACCTGCGGCAACAGTTTGGTTGACCATTCAAGCACCAGCCAAGCCTGCAAAAGAGCAATTCTCGAAATCCATCAAAGGTACAGCCAGGGCAATAGTAAGCAAACCACTGAAAATGAGGTACTGCTGCAGCAACCGCCAATAGTTTAGTATAGCACGATGTCGGTCACCTCTGACACCTTGGCAGTGCGCGCGTGCTGAGCAGGGTGCGTGTGTGCAACAGCTGGACAAGCACGCTTTCACTCACGCAACAGTCCTTTGCCACGTTAATTTACAGAAATATTCAACTGTAGCAAAACATACATTAAAAATTTATCTAGTACGTAACAGCTACAAGATACGATAACAGCCTTAGTCAAAGAGCAATAAACACTAAAATAAAAGATTAAGCTAATAACTCAATCTTGTATGCTTTACCAA